ATTAGGCCCATTAATCATTTAAATAAATTTTAAAACTCTTAACTAAATTAGTATATAAAAAAAATTATTGGTTATTACAAAATTTTCAAGAACATACGATATGGATTGATTTTAGAAAAAAAAAGTTGGAAGAGCAATAACTTTGAGCAATAAATATAGATTCAACCTTTAAGCAATATTTAAAGGTTGAATCTATATTTTTAAATTTTCGAAAAATTTCAAAATTCATCCTCAAGTGAAAATTTAAAATTTTATGGCCAAATACTAATTTCGAAAAAAGTAAAATTTTCAAGAAAAGGTAAAAAACATTTCACGGCCAAACAGGCTCTTAGAGCTGCATATTATCAGTGATAAAACCCAAATAAATAGTAGTAGTATCATTTTATTTCAGAAAAATAATGATGAATCCAGAATACCTCAATTATACAAGAATACTAGAGTAGGTTATTAACTAATTGGTTGCATGTTCGAATCCTACTTGAAAAGTTTTGTAGTAGTTGCCTAGTGAATACATATTCTATCTTTCTTATTTAAAGATCGTGAGAAATTATATTTTTATCATTTCTAAAAATATTAATTTTTACATGCGAATTTAGCATGAGTTTGTCTTCATACTTAGGAAATACAAAAAAATAATATAAACCACATTTTTGTGGGATGCGTGCTTCCCCATATCTCATTTATTTGGGATGTAAAACGCACTAAGTAGTTTTCCCACAATACAAGATGCACGTTTTCCCACGATAAAATATTTCTATTTCTTTGAGACTAAGCACACATGAGGTAAAACGAAATATAATATCACATTTTAGGTAGAAAAGTATTTTTTTTTTCAAAACTTTAAAAACGTGTTTTGAGTCCAAAATCTTGCCATTTAGGTTTGAGACTCAAACTTACAATGGATTAATTAAATAATAATGCTAATTAAGTGAATCAATTGCAAGAATTGTTGACTAATCAACGGATCCCTAACTTCGCAGTGCAATATTTCAAGCGCCTTGTACAAGCTCCACCAATAGCTCCGACCTCTTCCATTTTAATTGGTATCGAAGTCCACTCACTCCGCCGCTACCGGTGACTCTGCTCCGCTCCATCTCTTTCTCCGGCGACGTCTTCTACTTGTATGTTATAAAATCATACTTCTTTTTCTTTTTTCCTCTTCAAGTTTTATCTTAGAAGTTTTGTTAGGCATTTCTCTTCACCCAAAAAGAAAACAATAAGCGCCCGAAAAAGATTGAATTTTAGCATGTGTTATAAGGGGTTTCTAAATTTTATATAAGTTCGACCTGCTTTATCCAGACGGGCACTTGAGTGAATGTAAACACATTGTCTCTATTAGAAGATAATACTCTACATATATTATTGTTTATTAGAGCTAGACTCTAATATTGAATTTATTTCAATACATTGTCTAACAAAAGAATAACCTTTTAATGTACCAAGATTACTGATTTATTAGAGAGAAGAGTCTAATTTTGGTTTGTTGTCAGAATATAGATGGACTGCAGAATTCTATCATTGAATAGGTCCTGTAGCTTGGCTAGTAATCTTCGGGCCATTCCTACACGCAATACTGTATTTTATCGGAAATGTTCTTATCTGCCTGCAGGTATTACTTTCAGCAGTTCCTTCTTTTGCAGTAAGTTAATAGACTAAAGAAATTGTTATGTAGCATTTCACACATGATTTTTTTGTTGTCAGTTGCTTGTAGTTGTTCTTATTGGTGAAAACCATCAGAAAGTGCCATACTTTAAATTAAATGTGTCTTTATAGAGATTTTACTGTTGGGTTAATGTGTCATGTTGTTTTTGATCGTTATTGACAGGGTTATTTCGTAAGTCAATTAGGTGCTCAATGAAGTCCTATAGGTTATCAGAGCTTTCAGCTTCTGAGGTTGACAGCCTCAAAGCTCGTCCGCGCATTGATTTCTCCTCCATTTTCAACACAGTGAGTTAACAATGCTTCGTGAACTGATTTTGTATTTTTTCCTTCAAATTACTTATTTATTTACAGTTCAATTTAGTAGACTTATTGTGAATGTTGAATTAATTGTATCAGGTTCAACCCATTGTTGATGATGTTCGTAATAGAGGTGATGCTGCAGTTAAAGAGTTAGTGCTTGTTTTATATTTATTCCTTAGTGACTGTGTTTGTTTCATCAACAAATATTATCCTGTAACTGTTATGTGAAAATCCCCTTAATTTCAGGTTCGCTTTCCATAAAAATGCAAAACACGTGTTTACCTTTAATGGTTTAAGGAGAAAAAAAAAAGAATGCCGAACATGTGTTATTGATCCACAGCAAATACCAAATAAATGCCCCATCTGGAGGTGCTGCACTGTCAAACTATAAACAATTTGTATGATATTAATGAATGATGTAAAGGACATCTCTATTATGTTGTAGTAAATTATGTTGTGTGTCCTCATTCCTGTTGGATGGACCAAAATGATCTAAATAAGTGACATAAAGATGAGCTTTGTTATGCTCGAAATTTCAATCTCTGGTCCACTGCTCTTAAAAGCGAAAAGCGAAAAGAAGCGACAAGGTTCCATTTAGCAGATCCAACTTGGTGACCTTTGTGTCTTTGCAACCATAAGCCTAAACATAAAATATCAAATATGATTCTATATTGCCTATTATCAATACTCTCTCTCCCTTTTTAGTTCCTTTAGGAAACCCTGGACCAACATTTCAAACTACTTCCTGGTGTGTCAACTTTTTAAATATACGTTCATTAATTAAAGCTAATAACTTCAGTTTCGACCGATGAAGGTTGCTACTGTGCTTTTGCAGCTTGTTTTTACTCTTTCTGTAATTGATTCTTATCAACTTTAGTTGCCATTTTTTTAATTTGCTGGTCAAACTAAGTTCAAACTTTCAAACCGTCATAATATCCCTAAGTTTAGATTAAATAGTTATAGAATACGGAAATCTTCAGTTTTTTGGTTCCTTATCCATCACTTATCATTCTTTAAGAGTTAATAGTTCCATTCAGAAGTAAAAGATGCCACTGTAGAAAAGTTAACCTGTCTTTTTGTCTTGATGTTACTTTGATATGATATCTATAACTTCCTGGGCAGTTACACATCACGGTTCGACAAAGTTGTACTGGATAAGATAGTTGAAGATGTCAATGAGCTTCCAGATCCTGAGGTATGTATTTAGATACATAGTTTTCTTATTGATGCGATCGATGGGGATTAAAGAGAGTAGTTTGAATTGTGTTTAGGATTTTTTGTCCCCTTTCATATTCCTTTTCTTTAATTTTTTTTCTTGAAAGAAAATTGACTTCAGTTTTTCTTGTTTCCAATCTGACTAATTCTTCCTTTGACTCAGCTTGATTCAGCTGTTCGAGAAGCATTTGATGTGGCATATAACAACATATATGCCTTTCATGCTGCTCAAAAGCCTGTTGAGAAAGTTGTGGAGAACATGCATGTAGGTTGTGGATATTGTATATGATTGATCTCAGTTGTGAGGGCTTGTATAGCAGCATTGTGTTGGCACTCTTACTTCTTCATTTAACTTTCATATTTCCTACTTTGCCAGGGTGTCAGATGTAAACGTGTGGCTAGGAGCATCGCCTCTGTAGGGCTTTATGTTCCTGGTGGAACAGCTGTTTTACCTTCTACAGCTCTGATGCTTTCAGTTGTATGGTGATTCAATTTTCCATGTTAATTTCTTGCTCTCACTAATCATTTCTTCCAATGCTAATTCCCTGATTACAAAATCATCAATTTTTCCTTTTGGCCAGCCAGCACAAATTGCTGGGTGTAAAACTGTTGTACTTGCAACTCCACCTTCTCGGGATGGCAGCATTTGCAAGGTATTTGTTTACCATCTTACTTTGTTGGTATTAGTTTAAGTATCAATGGCCATTTATTTGGACGCATTTCTTGTAGGAAGTGCTTTATTGTGCCAAGAAAGCAGGTGTGACCCACATCCTTAGAGGTGGAGGTGCTCAGGTATAAGATGATATGCTTCATTGGTCTTCACGAGCGGACATTGCAACACATTTACTTAATTTCTTACTTCTTTTTCCTAACTTAAACTTTTTAATGTCCATCTACTGCAACCTTTTTAAAATCCACAGGCAATTTCTGCTATGGCCTGGGGCACTGAATCCTGCCCAAAGGTACAACTTTCACCTTAAAAATTGAAGCCTTGCATGTTGTATCATACAACACTAGTATACTTCTATTGCTTTGCTCAGCTTATGCACGCAGCACAGAATAAATGTTATTGACATGAGTACTTTCAGGCAATTAATCCTGGAGTAGACGTGCATGTAATATTTCTAGAGTATTCTTGCAATGATACACGAATAGTGAACCTTCATATAGATGATCCTAATTAGTTTAGGATTGAGCCATAGTTGTTTTATTCATGCAAAACATATAACTTTAATAATTGGACAAGGGTTGATGGAAAAGAATCTATGAATCCTTTTCATCAGTTTATATTTCCTTTAAAACACGATGTCTTTGCTATTGCTTGAAATAGGGACATTGATGTCTAGGCAGGAACGGTAATCGAAGCACGAGCTTTGATTAAATAGGCATGTGCTGAATTGTTATTACTAAAGGAACCAATCTCGCTTCAGGCCTTTGGTACACAATTATGAAGTGTGGGTTAGGTGCACGTCACGAGTTCGAACCATTCTGTTGACTGAAGTCTGGTATTTCGGTAGAAGCAGGGTGTAGGGATGAGTTTATACTTCCCTTGTTTTCAAACTTGTGAGCCCTATTGGAGTTGGGTTAGATAACTCACTGGAGATCACTCGGTTAGCCGGTTAGGAGGGCCAAATAGGACTGTGAATAGGAAGACGTCAAAGATTTTATATAGAAAACATATATCAATACATAGTAGAGAACGACAAGGAAGACAAGATAACATGGACTTAGTTTCTTATTTCTTTTTTTTTTTAAAAGAAGTTTTGTGATTCTTGGCCGAAAATTTATATTTTTATTATGATTGCAATCACTAATCAGAATATATATCAAGGAAGATTCCCCTATGTACAGTGAAAGTTGATCCTTATTGTTACATTGGCTATTTTTTTAACAAAGGAAAGTAATTATGGCATGTTTTAGCAGACACATTGTATCTGTTCCTTGTACATCTGTAAGGCTACTACCCTGGGTGTCCTTGAAACCTGTGGTTAACTTGTGGATATCTTAATGAAGTGGGTTTCCTTTCATATTGGCCTTTGGATTTCTGTTTTCCTAAACATGGCATGCATTTTACAGTCGAACTCTCCTTTTCTTATTTTGATAATATATAAAGGGGAAGCACTATGTACATTACCATCTATGCCAGGTTGAGAAGATATATGGGCCTGGGAACCAGTATGTTACCGCTGCAAAAATGATTCTGCAGGTATTGGTTTCAAGTAAGAGGCAATCTTAGGTTAGGGATATCAGCATTGTAAATAAACTTCACTTGAAACAAACACGTTGCCAAAAGGCTATTCTCCTCACCTCCAGTTGTCTTTTGCTCAATAGTACTCTCTCTCGACAGAACAGCGAAGCTATGGTTTCAATCGACATGCCAGCTGGGCCTTCAGAAGTCCTTGTTATAGCTGACAAGCATTCCAGTCCTGTCCATGTGGCAGCAGATTTACTTTCACAGGTATTAGCTCCACTTTTCACTGCTTGATTATGTTTTCTTCCCTACATTCTGTGTCTGAATCTGGTGCTCTTGTTATTTCACATTAGTAGTGCTTATGTCTCTTCTGATATCAAAATAAGAAGATTTATGGATTTCGTAGTGAAGGAGATTAACTGTTAACACAGATTGAACTGAAACTTTCAATAATTCCTATCGTTCATGGCAAAAGCTTATCACCTCAAATGCAATTTTCAGGCAGAGCATGGGCCAGATAGCCAAGTCGTACTGGTTATTGCTGGGGATGGTGTTGATCTAAATGCTATTCAAGAGGAAATTAGGAAGCAGTGCCAAGCCCTTCCAAGGGGAGAATTTGCACTTCAGGCACTTAGCCACAGCTTCACTGTGTTAGCACGGGATATGCTTGAGGTATGTTTGTCGATCTTGGCTGGCATTAATTTGCATACAGTTGAATGTGTGCTTGCTGTCATTATATAACACTACCTGAAACATATTTAAAAAAATTGAATTATCATCAATGTGGATGCAATTTCCTTGTAAATTTCTCTGTCAGCTATAGGCTTTATCTCGTGGACTTTAATCGCAATCTTTTTCAGGCAATTTCCTTCTCAAACATGTATGCACCTGAGCATCTGATAATCAATGTGAATGAAGCTGAGAAGTGGGAAAGTTTAATTGAGAATGCAGGTACTTTAAGTGTTTACTGCTAAATTTTACTTGACTTTTCCATTTGGCATATCTACTCTTCTGTTAGTTTGTTTTGGCTATTGGGGTCGCCGATTGTGATGTATCCATGAAATATTTTCCTCAAGCTTCTCTCTATTTTACAAATGTTAATGTGTGATATACAGTGGGTAATATGTTCATCTTTATTCTTCTTATCTTTATATTCCTTTGAGTGAGTTTTCTGTCCTGCCCTTTGTGATCCTCCATATAACACAACTTCTCCATACAATTTAACAGCATTTTTACTAAAGATTTCTGTTTCATTTTCTATTTTTTCCTTGTCTTCACCATCCAGCTGGTTAATACATTAGTCTTGCGGTATTTTTTGGTCTATTGACGTCTTTAATCTCTATGCCTAATTTTTGTGGTTTAAGGGTGTGTGTATTGAACACGTAATGTTATTATCTCAGCTCTTGACTGTATAAGGTTGATAGTTTTTTCCCTTTTATTCCTTCAAACTCTATGATTTAGCTCTGCAAGATGTCAAATAGAAGGGTCAGGTTGGCTGGCCATTGTCAAGGCGGACAAGTTTCTTCACTAGTGATCTATGCCATCTCCTTTCTCGGTAGGGAGTTGAATACACCGTCATTTCTATTACATGGCGTAGTTGACTAGCCTTTTTTTTTTTCTTTGGCATGGTTATTTCAGTCCGCTTGGGTTCCTCGGATAAGCTCTAAAAGAAATTCACTACTGATGGTGGCTGGAAATGCTGGCTCCATTTTGTAATATGGTTCTTATGATAGGCATGACATATTTTTTTTTACTTCTGGGCTTAAAGAAATCTGATTTACAATATCTTAGATAAGGCAAAAAAAAAAAAGAAGAGAACTCTCTGCAGTACTCAGCTTCTACACACTAATAAGCTAACTACACCAGAAAGAAGGCTTTTTTATATGGCTTAGTGCTTACAGTTAGCTAAAATTGTATTTTATGGAGAGAGCCTGGTTTTTCGAACAGAGACAGATCTATATTGCAACTCTTGAGAGATTGGACGATGCTACTTCCTCAAGTTAAAAGTGACTGGATTTCCATTTCAAAAAAAGAAAAAGTGACAGACTTAGCAAGTAAATTTAAGCAAACTCATTTACTATAAAATCAACTATGTTCATTGTTGTAAAAACTGGAGAACAATCTCACAAATCAAGAGAAATTTCAGGAACTTGAAGAGGGTATGATGAATGTTGAATAACTGTCCTTTCGATCTGTATTTATGTGTGTGTCTGTTTGTGTAACTTTGTCCCCCTTATGACGTTGACACACTGCCAAGCACCAACCACTTGTGTTGATCAGTGGTGACAATTGCTTTTTCCAGAACTTCTTTGTCAAAGTGGTTTGTCCGACTTGTGGAAGCTGTCTAATGTTTGTCCCGACTTGGGCTCTTTAGCATACAGCTCAAAAATATGCATGTTCATGTGTTATTTCTGATGTCTTCTGTGTTCATATGGGTACCAGGAAAGTTAGGTTGGAGGTTCATATTTTAGCATCAATAGCAACTTACTAATCAATCATGTCTCCCTTTGGAAATCTAACTTATAAATAATCAACTCTGAATACTTGCAGGTTCTGTATTTATGGGACAGTGGACACCTGAGAGTGTAGGAGATTATGCAAGTGGAACTAACCATGTTCTGCCAACTTACGGGTATGCACGGATGTATGGTGGAGTCTCTTTAGACTCTTTCTTGAAATACATTACTGTGCAGTCTTTAACAGAAGAAGGGCTGAAGAATCTTGGCCCCTATGTGGAGAAAATGGCCGAAGTTGAGGGTTTGGATGCCCACAAGAGGGCTGTAACCCTCAGACTGCAGGACATAGAAGCGAGGCAAATATCACACTCAAGATGATACCATATGTGGATCCCTTTTGTATTCATAAAAGAATAAATATTGAGCAATTCACCCGTCATGCAAATCTAATGGATGAGCGAGTTCATCTGCTGTATTTGCTGGAACAAATTTAAACCAGATATCTGAAAAGATGTTTGAGAGCTGTATCTTAATTGGACTTTTGCCATGTTTTGTAATAAAAGTTGTAATGCAGCAAACTTGTAATATTTTGGATTAGATGTAATTATCGTGGTGACAAAAGGTTGCTCTTTTGGCTACAGATAACGAAGAGTTAAAATCTCTGATATCATTTACTGTAATTCTTATCTTGTAATTGCTTGAATTTTAATATTATTTGATTTTAGTGCCTTATACTCGTTATTCAATTGAATTAAAAGAAAAAGATGAAACATTCAAGTCATGCATTCTGTTGAAATTGAATCATAACTTGTGCATGTTTAGATTCAACAAACGAAGGTGTCTTGCTTCACCCATGCTCCAGTCTTAATTACCTCCCCAAATTCCGATTCAGTAAGCACGTACGGATTCCTAAGTGGACGGTCCAAGACTAAGTCTTCTATTTGCTCTAAATTAGGGGCACCAACTCAAACTGTACATTGGGAAGCAAATAAGCAATATTGAAACATGATACTCCTATTTTAAAAATAAATTTTCACTTTTACTTGTCACTTTTAGCATATCAAGATTTTTTTTTCCTATTATACCCATAGTATTAATTACTAATTTCAAATTATTTTCTCAAATTCATTAAAAATATGCATCAATTAATAAAAGTATCGTAGTAAATTATACACTTTATTTATTATTTCTTAAGGGGTGTGTAAAATACATAGTGGACAAGTAAAAGTGAACGGAGGGAGCACAACATAACGCCTTGGAATGTAGTGATTTTTTAGACATAGACCTAATCTAAAATTCACGGTGTGTTAGTTTACTAAGGAACTAAATTGGTTTCTACTATCCAACAATTAGTTATGTAACATTTTAAAATCAATAACAACGATTTATCTTTTGTAAGACAAAAAGAAATATTTATTCATCAGCAACAACAACAAACCCACCCTTATAAAGTATTTTCTAATTGAATAATTGAGTTAAAGTAGCATCTTCTTCGCAAATGTATTGCATAACTTTTTCTTTTCAAGTAATATTGTACAACTCAAAATTAAGAATTACATCATCTCAAGTGAATTCCACACAGAAGAAAGCCGTTTGGCGGTTTACCTTCACCCATTTTATGCTCGTTATCCGTTAGTTGAACAATGTACAGATATTTAAGCTAAATGTACAACCTATGCATTAGCAAATTAATTTGTTTTCTTGCAAGTATCAATTTCCTTTTTTTGTTCATGTTCAAAATTTCATTTCCTTTTCTTCTTCTTCTTCTTCATTAAACTGAACCCTGATTTCAGCTCCTCCAAAATACGTACGCTCCACAATCGTAGAATCGTATATACGTATTCTTTGTGTATTTGTAATGCATTTGTTCGTGTAGGTTATGGAAGATACAAAACCAAACAAGCAAGCCAACAACGGAGACCTATTCGACGATGCGCCAGAGGAATTTCCCTTCGACGATTGCAACGACAGCTTTTCCGACGCGGAAACTGGCGGATCGGAGGCTGTCGTAAACCTTAATCGATCACCGAAAAATGAAGATTTTCCGTCGTCGTCTCTCCGGCGCCGGCGTCCTCTTTCTTACAGTGATTCTGGTAACGATTCGGCTAATTTTAGACCTTCGGTAAGTTCTGAGAGTTATTTGAATTCTAAAGAGAGAAGGCTTATGTCAATGGAGAAGGATAAAAATGGAAGTTTGAATTATATAGAAAATTCGAACTCAATGCAGCTTGATTTGAGCAGAGGAAGACAAAAAAGTAGTGTCGATGAAGAAAATAAGGAGATTTCGACGGTTATGAATGCGAATAGTGTAATAATAGGTAATTCAAACGATGATCATTTTATGTTGAAAGAGGATTCTGTAATTACGGATGTGAACAATGACGGAATAGATAATTCGGAGGTAGTTGATTCGCATTTGAGAGGAAATGATGATTCAAGTTCGAATATTTTGTTTGATTTAGCCAATTTAGTGATAAAAGCTGTTGGCTTTCAAGTGAATATGTTGGTTACTTTTGTGAGTTTGATGATAAAGTTGTTTTCATTTCCTGTATGGGTAATTTATAGCACGTATATGTTTGTGATGGATCCGTTTCAAATAATGAGGCGTGGAAAAAGATATGTGATGCACAAGTTTATGAGGAGTTTTGGATTTGTGTTTGAATGGTTGAAGGAGCAGAGGTCAGTGTGGAAGTTGGGGTTGAAACTCGGATGGGGATGTTTGTGGTCTGTGTATGTATGTGTTGTTTTGGTTGGATTGCTGGTATCGGCTTTTATAATGGGTGGCATCTTGATGAGAATTATGGTTGAAGAGCCGATCAGGATGAACGAGCCTTTGAATTTTGATTATACAGCAAAAAGCCCAGTTGCATATGTGCCTGTAATAAGGAGTCCAGGTGTGACCTGTGGTGTAGGTAGTAAGGATCAAGTGGAGGTTGGGATGGTTGATGGGGTGCGAGTTATCCCACCTAATCATCAGTTGCAGGTTACTGTTTCATTAACGTTGCCGGAGTCTGATTACAACCGAAATCTGGGCATTTTTCAGGTATATAAGCCAGAGACCTTTGTGGTTGATACTCTATGTAATTTTTCTGCTAGATACAGAACAGTGGTGATTGGAACTTCTTCTTGTTAAGAGTTCATCAACATGGGTTCATTGACCTGATTATCAAGTTGTTGCTTCAGTTTATGCCTAAGAAGTTAGTCCAAATAGCTATGCAAGTTGCCTGGAGTACATCTATGCCATATTTGTTATGTTGTCCTCTGCTTTCTGCGAGGATATAGATATGTTATAAATTTAGATGGAGGATAAGTTTCTAGGCATGGTTTTGCTGTTGCAAACTGATTATAATTTATTCCATATTAGTTTAATTAATGCACACAAAGAGGGAAGTTTGAGTTGAAATAAGCTTTAGACATCTGTTTGCCGGCTGTGTATCTGGTTTGTGTATTACATGGCTTAGGTTTTTAAGCTAGAGAATTTTTCAATGCATATACATTTCGAAAAATCTGCATAATAAAAAAGAGAAGGGGGACCCTGGGGCTGGGGGATATATTTGTAAGAATGAAATGTTTGTCTCCTAATGATTTGACATAATTTTTTTTTGGGGGGATGTGGTGTCCGTGTCAGCTTGATTTGACATTCCGTGCCAGCTTGATTTGACATTAATTTCTTTCTCCTGTCCGGGGTCTATTTACCAATTTAACATGTCTGCACCTGCCCTTATAGTTTCACTTTGTCCATTTCTTTGTGTATGGATTGAAGGACTTAGTATGATTAATTTCATTGATTCATTCCTGGTAGAACTTCAAGCCTACCACCTATTTTAGGAATACAAAGTTGAGGTTTACATTGTTGACCCAAATTCTTGAACTGAATGAATTGCTGGTCTGCTATGCATTTCTACATCTGATGTCTTACCTTAATGGATTAGTAACTTTTTTGTTTCTTACCTTGAAGGTGAGGGTGGATTTCCTCACTGCTAATGGTAAAGTGCTAGCTAGCTCCAGGCGACCCTGTATGCTGCAATTTAAAAGCAATCCTATACGCCTTTTCTCTACTTTCCTTAAGGCTGCCCCTCTTGTCACCGGATATACATCAGAATCCCAAAAGTTGAGGGTATACTTAAAGGGTTTCTCTGAAGGTTTCGTTCCAACGGCATGCTTGAGGGTGATCATTGAGCAACGAGCTGAGTTCCAAACTGGAGGTGGAATTCCTGAAATGTATGCTGCCTCTTTAACACTGGAATCTGAACTTCCTTTTCTGAAAAGAATGTTATGGTATTGGAAGACAACATTATTTGTGTGGGTTAGCATGATGTTGTTTACCATGGAATTTCTTTTCGCTCTTCTTTGCTGCAAACCTCTTATCATTCCAAGACTAGGACTGAGGCATGATTCAAACAGTCGTGCGGGTTCACCGAACAACCCACCAGCTGAAAGGTAGTCGAAAGCTTATGGTTTGATCCCTTAAAATTATGCTTTCATTTCTTTTTTAATTGTACATAACTGGTAGGTGTCTGTTGATTCTTTGCCCGATTGGAACCTATGTCGATATGTACGCATAGTGACTGGTTTTTACTTTTCAAGTAATTCTATGAAAATATACTCCTTCTCATGAACTTCATTTTTCTTTGGCAAGTATAACATTGTGTCCTGAAGTTTACAAATGTTAGATTAGGTACTTTCCATTTCCTAAAAGTTTCCTGTAAGCATCTTCTAGAAACATTGGTGATATAGTCATTTCCTATATGGACAGAGTTCGAGGAAATTTAGCATGCTTATGAAACTACCGCTTACCATGCTCATCAAAGTACTTTCTTCCGGTAAAACCTCAAAATGCTTCGTGGAGAGCCTCAGTGGAAGAATATATCTAAAGATTTGCTAAACAGTATGGGAAATTCAGAGATCTAATATATGGTAGCAGCCAAATGGGGTCTATCTTCTAATGAACTTGCATTGAGGACCAGAACAGTAGTTTTCTCATTAAGCTTTATTTTGGGATAATCTTCTGTTGTGAAACACATAAACTTGGGTCTGACAAGTGGTTAATCAACCATACCGGGGCAGTAGTATTTGTCATTTAAACTTTGTTTTGGGCTAATCTTCGGAGGAAGGGAAGAAACTTAGTGACTTCATCAGAGGGCTTAATTGTAAACCTCATGGCATTGTAGAACCAGATACCAGCTGTAGCTCCTGCTATTGGACCCAACATGTATAACCATAGTTTCTCGTAACAATTTGATACAATTGCTGGTCCCAAACTTCTTGCGGGATTCATTGACGCCCCTGAAATAGTCCTGTTCATCACAATAGCCAAATGTCCCCAGTTAGGCAAATATGTAGAATGTAAGAGAGTTATGATTCCAAAAAGAACAACTAGGAACTGTTACTCGTACTCATCTGTGAGGGTTGGCATTGTACTCTTATTTTTCTAAACTCATGTTCTTATATAGGTCCGTTCCACAGTTTGTACAGGTAGCTTTCCACTTAGTTTTTTATTGATGATAATCTGTAGTATTCCTCCACTTTGAGTTGTTCCTGTTTATTTCCTGAAGCTATTTTAGGAAAACATACTTTTTAAACTCTCGAAGAAATTATGGCAATTTCTTTAAGTGAAATGGTTTTGGTTGTCAAACACTTCCAAGAGCATTTGATTTCCAAATGTGATAACTTTACAAATGCATTCTGAAATGGGTTCAGATTAAGTGGGAAACGGAAGATATCTGTTTAGCATACCCTGCAACAATGGAGTTAATTGTGGCTACAGCTCCAATGACAAGTCCAGAGAGCTCTACAACCTGCCCCAGTAAACAGAGAGAAGGATAAAATAAGTGAAATTCTGAAGTCGTAAGAGCTTAACATTTGAAGTAATAATCAAGACACTAAAAAAGCAGTGGTACTAACAGCTCGATTATCCGTTGCAATGCCTGCAACAGCAAACATGAGGTGGAAAGTGATTCAAGAATTCTAATCCAAGAGACTGCAAATCTGAGCCAGCTGGAATTGTTCCCAGAAACTGAGGTTACTCTTCCTTGAACATTAAGTTCACAGTGCTAGTTGCTAGAGTTGCACCTACGGCTTGTGATAGGAGTCTCGAACCTAAATATTGTTTTTTTGGACTCAAATTACCTTAATAGGTGTTTAAAAAAAATACATTTCTATATATAGCGTGCAAATACAAGACGCTATACATTAACGGTAACGTCTGCCATTAAGGTATAGCGTGTTGTATTCATACGCTATACATATACCGCCCAAAAAAAACGCTATACCCTGAATATGGACCCACCAATAAGTGAACTGACAAACACAATANTGTCAAGGTGGAAGACGTTCCAAACAATGAGGTTGTCGGACAGGTTCCGGATAACCCCCAGTCATCGGGTGGCTATTCTGGAGGAGTTTTTGCCGGACAGGTTTCGGATGAAAGAGTTTTCCTTGATTTAAACTTATCCCCGCCTGTTTTACATAATTCACAATACGAGTGGTAAGCTTCAATTTTCCTTTATGTTACGATGTACATTTTTGTTGTATTGAATTTGTGTTAACGCTCATATATTTAACCGGGGTACATGACAGATAGGAATTTTACAAATTATGAACCCAAGCATAGTTTTGGTGTGTTGGATCATGGTGGTCCATCCGGGAGCCATCACCTAAATGAAAATGTCCATCATGGAATTTCATCACATCATGGAATTGCTATCGGGAAGAATTGGCAAAATAGTTACTGTTATGTGCTTATCCTATAGTTTTACTTCTAACCCTCACTTTGTGCATTATATTAGAAACGTTTGGAATTCTACTTATAAAGGTTTTCCTCGTAGAACCTTAAAGAACGATATTTATAAATATAAAACATGAATATGAACAATATTTGCGCGATTTATTTACTCATATAAATTATCGTGTTACTATTACAGTTGATATTGGTAGAAGTGGTAATGAATGTGATTACCTTACTGTTACCAGTCAATGGATTGATGAGGATTGGATAATGCAAAAACGCATTATTGCTTATAGAATAATTTATTCACATCACACAGGGCAATTTATTGCTGGCACAATTGTGAATATTTGTAGATATTTTTGCATTATTGATAAAATCATGTCAGTTTCAATGGATAATGCTACTAGTAACACAAATGTTGTAGCTTTGCTTACCACTACACTAAGTCCTGCATTTAGTAGCATTTTTCATGTTAGATGTATTGTCATATTTACCATTTAATTGTGGGTGATGGTATGAGAATTTTAAATATTGAAATTGAAAAGGTTAAAATGGCTCTAACTAGTTTTTTTATTCAAACCGTAGAAGTAGATTTAGAGAATATTTTAAAAGATGCGATGAATTTGGCCTAAGAGAAAGAAAGATTCCTAAAACTTCTCCAACTAGATGGAATTACATGTATGAAAATTTAGTTGTTGCATATGAATATAGAAACCCTATAAACTCAACGGTTAATGCTCATGTAAGCGATGATGACGAACACCTTACAAATGCGGATTGAGCTAATGTTAAAATGCTTGTAGATTTTTTAGAAAAATTTCATATTGCTACAAATGAATTTTCTGGGCAGTATTATCCTACTATTTCAAAATGTTTAGTTTATATTGCAGAACTTGCAAATTTGTTTGCTCATTTTTCAGAGGGTGAAAAAATTTATCAACTTGCTATTGATTCTATGAGAAAAAAGTTTAAAGAATATTTTTTCCCTATTCCCCCTATTTATGGTGTTGCTGCCTTGTTAAATCCTAGTATGAAATTAAGAGGTCATCAATTTTGGTATGAAACTGTTGTAATGGCTTAGCACTTGAAGAAGAGGAGTTGTCTAAACTTCCGGAAGCAATAGCCTCAATTAAAATAAATGCTCAAACTATTTATAATGCTTATCAAGTTGCATTAGATCAGGCTAGACCAAACGTTCCAACTCCTTCTTCTTTTGATTCTCAATCATCTAAAAGAACTGCGGGAGTAAGAGCACTTAGTGCTTGGGCCGGGTTCAGGGGTTCTCAAGGTTCTACTACTAGTAATTTTTCACAATTGAATGAGCTTGAAGTTTATTTGTCATAGGGAATTGAGAAAGTGAATCCCGACGGCTCCTTTAATATTTTGAAATGGTGGAAGGACAAAGAAAAACACTTTCCGATTCTTTCAAGGATGACCTGAGACGTTTTAACTATTCAGGCTTCAACAGTGGCACCGAAGAGCGTTTTCAATCAAGCAAGACTTCAACTCGATGATTATAGAGCGTCTATGAGGGAGAGCTTGGAAAGATCAGTACTTTTCAGAGATTGGATTCGTTTGGAAAGAAGAAATTTTGGACTTGGTGAATCACAAGTTCACAACTAGAGGTAGATGAAGCTTACGAAGAAATGCTAGCTGAACTTGCGGAGGATTCTGCTTTGCCCGGAAGCGGTGATAACCAAGTTTCTTTTCTGCCACCACCAACGGATATTCCTCCGGACCTTAATGGATTTATGAAGTTTGTAAGAGATACCATGTAGATTTTTAGAAAAATTAGTATGTATTATGTAACTTGTATTTTCACACATCTTGATTAATTTCTTTTTCTTCTCAATGGTGGTATTAGCACCTTGTTGTGCTAATTCCATATGGGGAGGAAGACTAAGAAAGATATTGCTATATTTTTTTAATGCTATAATAAAATTATAACGCATTGCTTTGAATATCTCTTTACAAATATTTTTGTCTTTAAATTTGAATTAAAAAATTTAGGTCACAATTCTATAATATAATTTACAAGAAATTGCTTTAGATATTTTTATTACCATTTTTTACTCTAACTTCTATAAATTTTTTTAAAAAAATAGAAAGTATCCGTTGGGCCCACTTAGGTCCGGGACCAGCCCGCTTAGCCCGGGACCATTAGTTCGTGGACACGGTCTCGAATCGGTTCCTACAAAAAGCTCGCGAAGCCCGAGGACGCGAAGCCCATTTAAGTTGGGACTAGGCCCACTTAGGACTGGCCCACGAAGCCCATATAGGCCCGGACTCGGCCCACATGTCCGTCTCAATTCCAAGAATGGAAAAAGAAGAGAACAAGATGTTTGTATTTTGCTAATAAAACATCACTAAACAAGCAGTTCAATCAGAACTGAAAAATCCCCAACATTTTTAATGGAAAAATGACAATGTATAGCCGCTGTAAAAATAATAGCCAAAAAATATATAAAATTTATATATTTTTTTGTATATATATACATTCTTTAAGTTATATACAAAAAGTATACAAGTTTTATACACTTTTTTGCATTGGCGGATTTACATGGAATGATATGGGTGCTTAAGCACCCATTGTCTTTTATTAGGCTTAGTAGATTTACACAGGGGCGACCCGACCAATTTTGTGGCCTAAAGCCAAACTTTATGAGGGACCTTAATTTTTTAATTTTTTATTTATTTATTTGAAATCTATTTTTTAGCTTTTCTTAGATATAAAGTTATAAATAATTTTCTTACCAACAATAACTCCTAATAAGTCTTTCTCAGTTGACAATATAACTAGTCCATTTAACCTTTCTTGTGACATTATTGTTCTTAGGTAAGATTTATCAGTTTTAATTTTGAAAACTTCTTTCCGTTGAAGCAACGGTAACATGAGTTATTAACATTATTTCATAAGCAATTTAGGCATTTGAAAAAGAATTAAATCTTTTAATTTGATTAAATGTATCAATTAAATTGTTATCTTCTAATTGTACTATTTTCCTTAATATTTTTAATTCAGAAAATAAATCTAAATTATCAATATCGAATTGATTATTATGCTTTAAGGAACAACCAAAATTAAGACAATATTTTTTCAAATTTCCAACATCTAGCGATCTTAGTTTTTACTACTAAATAGTAAACCCAAAATATTTTCATATGCTTCGAATTGTTCAAATCTATTTTGAAGTGAAAAAGTAGCCTTGTCAAAGTAATCAACTCTAAACGGCTCTTCGAAAGATTTTGAGATTTTATTATCAACATTGCACATCAAATTGTTACTTCCTATATATCACACGTTTCTTGTGAAATTCGGGTTCGATATTCATTTCAAGTGCAATTTTCTTGGTAGAAATCATAGCAGTTGCAAATCCTTCTTCTCTATATATTTGTTAAAGAAAGAAATCAAACCTTTTCACTTCACAAAACTCTTTTTAAACTTATACATAGTCTATTAGGTGTAATGAGGCCCCACAAATATGGGGCCTAAAGCGGTTGCTTTACTTGCTTTATGGAAGGACCGCCCCTGGATTTACATAGGCAATTATAAAAAAAATTTAGATAAGTATTGAGTGAGCACCCATCACTAAATTTATTTTTCCTCTTCTTTCGGAATTTTTATCGGCGAGCACCCATGACTTTGAAATATTAGATCTGCCACTGCTTTTTTGGCTTCCAAATATAAAAAATTTCTGACTCGGATTAAAAAAGACAGTACTCAAACTTTAATTCAATAATTGGCCATCATTAGTGGAGGGAGGAAGTGGAGATAAACCTACTCCAGCAAAACATCATTTTTTATCATCTGTCGCAAATTATCTTTATTTTTTAAAACTCAAATTGAATATCCAAGTATCATGATGATTATTTCGGAACCAAATTTAAGTAGAGATTGGGCCATTCTCATGATTAAAGTATTTCACCTTACTCCTTACTATTATTTGTCAAAATTCAACACTGGGAACTCTAATGAACATTTTCCAATATTACAGTAATTTCTTAACTACACATTGTTATTTTATGAAAACTCAAGTTTCTCATTACAGAAATCCTTCCAAAGTGTCAAATGTAATGCCACAAACATCCAACCTCCAATAAACAAGCCACCATAAACTCTTCCATTGACCAAATTAAGACTTCATTAGTTTATATTACAAAAAATAAAACTCGTTTCTTTTGTAAACAAAAGTTAAGGAAACTAATAGCTAGGAACACATGCTTTTCCCCCTTTTCTCATTCCTATTTTTCTTTCTTTTGTCTATATATATTTCAGAAGAAGAAGAAAAAAAACAATTACTCCCCTTTTCAGTTGGAGCTGTTTGTTACGTGCTAGATCTGAGGGACTTGCTTGATCTGATGGACTTGAGGAAAGATCCACTTTTGGTAATCTCACGTAAAGGCTTGTCTGTGAATCTGATGATGTTATAGACCCAAGCACCTGATATGGCCCCAGCTGTTGGGCCTAACATGTAAACCCATATACCTCTGTAATGGCTCCATACTATTGCTGGGCCCAAACTCCTTGCTGGGTTCATCGACGCTCCTGATATCGGTCTGTTGAGATGTAATATAATTAAGTAACTAAAATAATTTAAAGATGTATCAAGGTAGACGAGAGGTCCTGAGTTCAAATTTCACTTCCATCTAACAAGAAAAAAAACATTTTCACGTGTTTGCCCGTGGAGAAAAATCAAAAACATACATGAAGGGTTGTTTTGAGACATTAAAATTTAAAAATGTACAACAGTAAAAACAAACCCAGCGAGTTCCTACAAGTGGGAGTATATAGAGGGTAATGTGTACACAGACCTTAAAAATGTATTTTCTCTAAAATTTTAAGCTTTTGGATGAGGTGTTCACACGTTTTAACAACAACTCCAGTCCATTTTATTATTTTTTTTGGAAATGAAGTGGTCAAATAATACAAGTATATATGAAAAAGATATAAAAGAAGCTTGTTTTTTTTTTCAAATAAGAACTTTGTATTTTTGTGTACTGGGATGGCGAATGGTCAAAAGACTTGACCCCCCATATCAAAATAATTTAGACACATTCACACAATAACATTTTAAAATAATAATCAAAATAAAAAATGCAAAATACATAAAGTAGTAATTACCCGGCAAACATCACATTAAGCAACACGGTTGCCCCCACAGCAAGACCAGCAAGTTCTCCTATCTGCAATTATAGCCACAGTAAAGGAATCCAATCAATCATGTAATAATGATGATGTAGAAGAGTCCACAATTATTAAATAATTCAGATTAAACTTTGATTAATTAGAAAGAAACTTGAATATTTAAGTTTGAAGTCATAATCTTGTTACTAATTTATTCGTAATTATTGACTACCCTTAGCGTACGATAGTCGATTGGTGAATATTTTATACTCCAGCATATTAGTCGTAGCAGAAAAGAAATTAAAATTATCACATTCACAAGTAAAGTACGTAGGCAACTAACCTAGCTGGATTGGCTATTCAAGATGTTGTTCTTAACTGTTTCTAATTAAGTTAAAATAGAGGCCAAAAAATGAGATTCAAAATGAAAGAGTACTTACCGCTCGATTATCAGTTGCGACACCAGAAACGACAAACATAAGATAAAATGTGATAATAAATTCCAGAACAAGAGATTGGATATCTGATCCAGAGGGTGAAGTTCCAAGAAAATGATCATGTTTGCCATTGAATATTAGTCGTAGGGTTCCGCTTGCTAGGGTTGATCCAATCACTTGAGCTGCCACGTAAGCTGGTACCTATATATATACAAGAAATAAATGCTCGTTAATTATAGGTAAGAAAAAAGTAATATAATCTCTTTAATGTTCTCAACTAATCAAAACTAACACGACCAATTTTGGAAGCAATTAATAAACGTTGACTATAGACAACTTACACCTGTGAAAGTCGAGAAAACGTGAATAATATTTCTTGCTATCAATTCACATATTCAAAAAGCGGTAAATTGACTGAAATCTTTTATCTGCTTAATGCAATATACATAGGTTCGAGAATTAGGATAAATAGTTAGTAAGTAGTTAAGCATATTTTTTTCCCATAGTATTATTCTCCTATTTCCTTACCCTTAAAATGCTGTTATTACCTGTTTGTTTTCTTGTTTTTAGTTCTCCTATTATCTTACTGTTATTATTGTTTTTTTTTTTTTTTACTTTTTTATCTAGGGACTTCTCCACAACCATGTTTCTGTTTTTCAAAAACTGCCGTGATTATGTGTTTTTTGAGCCGAGAGCTTATCAGATATCGCCTCTCTACCTTCACAAGGTAGTAGTAAGGTTTGCGTACACATTATTTTTCATCTGTGTACGCACTACCCTTCCCAAACTTAAGATCAACATACACACTACCCTCCTCAAACCTCACTAGTGGGATTAGACTAAGTATTTTGTTGTTGTAATGTAATATACATTGCAGGCATTGTGACGAGGCATTTAACAAAATGATACCAATTAGTGTCAAGGCCAATGAACTCAAAAATTGAAGATTATTTAAGTCAAAATTGAACAAAGTGTACATACCTGTTTCCATGGGAACCTTTTGCAAGTGGCAAAGGAAATGGTAACAGCAGGGTTAAAATGAGCACCAGAAATGTGGCCAACAGAGTAAACCATGACCATAACCACCAGCCCCCAGACAATGGAGATACCAGGGAAAGTAACCATTCCTTTGTCTGCATTCACCGCCACTGAACCACACCCCGCAAATATCAAGAAGTACGTCCCTAATGTCTCCGCTATTATCTGTTTAATTAATTGGAAGAAATTAATTAACAAACTTGTACAATTTCAAGGGAATTTCCACCAATATAATAGTTCCGGCCGGCAACCATTAGCTCATACATAATCATACAAAATGCAACGTTGTTTTTTGATTTCCCAAACTTTTCTGAGGAACTTTTTAGGACTTGAAAGTCATTTTCTTTGGAAAAACTTGCAATTTTGTATGAACTAATATAATATAGACATAGACTTTTGGTAGTAGCAAAACTAATTAAATAAGGAAAAGAGTTACCTTTTGGATGAAGGGAACAGTGACAAAGCAACAGCTTGATGAAGAATCTTCATGTGCAGAAGTCTTGTTGTTGCTGTTCATATCATTATCTCTAATATTCAAACTCACTGATGCATGGTTTCNCTGAACCACACCCCGCAAATATCAAGAAGTACGTCCCTAATGTCTCCGCTATTATCTGTTCAATTAATTGGAAGAAATTAATTAACAAACTGGTACAATTTCAAGGGAATTTCCACCAATAGTTCCGGCCGGCAACCAAAACATTTCTGATCAGGAACTTTTTAGGACTTGAAAGTCATTTTCTTTGGAAAAACTTGCAGTATTCGATGAACTAATATAATATAGACATAGATTTTAGGTATTAGCAAAACTAATTAAGGAAAAGAGTCACCTTTTGGATGAAGGGAACAGTGACAAAGCAACAGCTTGATGAAGAATCTTCATGTGCAGAAGTCTTGTTGTTGTTCATATCATTATCTCTAATATTCAAACTCACTGATGCATGGTTTCCATTAGCCTCTGCTGTCTGCAGATCACCCATAATTGTATATCCTTAATTACTTTTAACTCCTACTAATTAAGATGTGTAGATTTGGGGGGTTGTTGTGCAAGATGATCAGCTTATTGTTTGCATAGGAAGAATAAGCGAGCAAACAAACATTACAGCTTCGCCAATTTATATATACAAATCCAGAAAGATAAAAGTGAAGGGGGCCGGGGAGAGAGAGAGAGATGGACTTTTTTAATTTTGTTTGTACTTTCTTTTCGGAGAGATCAATGCTTTTGACTCTGAGATCTTCTAGCTGATATTTATTCAATTTTTCTTCTTCTTCATTTATAAAAGGAGAAAATAAACATTTTTTATTATTAATAAAAAATTGGATATTATTGAAAGTGTGACGTATTTAATGATTATTATGAAGATAGACATTGAAGGCTGATCCAACAACCCACCGGTAATACAGAAAAGTTATGAATGCACGAGAAACTTTTAATTCTTCACAACCATTAACCAACTTCCATATTATCCATATGAGAAATGGTAACTTCTTTTTCTTCGCTTTCCAAAAAAAGAAGGATGAAAATCACTAGCAATAAACTGAAACTAGAGGTCAACTCTTTTTTTAGTTATAAGTAATTAGTTAATTGGATAAGCAATTCTTATCAAACTAGGCACTTTCCCTTCGGGTAATCACTTGATTTAGTTGGAATTTTTATTATTAATTAACAAGTAATAACAACAACAACAAACCTCGTAGTTTTCCACAAGTGGGGTTTGGGGAGGGTAAGATATACGCAGCCTTACCCCTACCCCTGGAAGGGCAGAGAGGCTGTTTACGATAGACGCTCGGCTAGAGAACGACTGAAAAATAAAAAGTAATTGCAATAAATAGGAATAACAGCAAGATGAAATAAGATCGAATCCAAGAATGCAGTCAAACTTTAGGTAGTAATAGCCATCTATAAATAAAAGATATCATACTAACACTAATGCTAGCGACCTGAGTAAGACAAAGAGAAACACTCGACCACCTACGAACCTTCTACCCTAATCTTTGACCTCCAACACCCTCTTGTCTAGGGCCATTTCCTCAGTCAGCTCCAGCTGCGCCATGTCCCGCATAATAACCTCTCCACAAGATTTTTTAGGCCGACCTCTACCCTCATACTGCTTACCGAGGCTAACCGCTCGCACCTTCTAATTGAGGCTTCTATTCTTCTCCTCTTAACATGCCCGAACCATCTCAACCTCGCATCCCGCATCTTATCCTCCACTGGGGCCACTCCCACCTTTTCCCGAATAACTTCATTTCTAATCTTATCCAACCGGGAATGCCTACATATCCACCTCAACATCCTCGTCTCAGCTACTTTTAGCTTCTGGTATGAGAGTTCTTGACCAACCAACATTGTGCTCTATACAACAGAGTCAGTCCAACTACAATCTTGAACTTACCTTTAAGTCTCAACGGCACATTCTTATCACACAAGACACCTGAAGCGAGCCTCCACTCCATCCATCTTGCTCCGATACGATGCATGACATCTTCATCAATATCCCAGTTACCTTGTATTATAGATACAAGATACTTGAAACTACCTCTGTTGGGGATGACTTGCGTATCAAGCCTTACCTCTATATCCCCTTCCTCGGCACCGTTGCTGAACTTGCACTCCATGTATTCCGTCTTGGTCCTGCTCAACTTGAAACCCTTAGACTCTAGGATCTGCTTCCAAACTCCAGCCTCTCATTAACACCACCTCGCGTCTCGTCAATTAAAACTATGTCATCCGTAAATAACATACATCATGGCACCTCACCTTGAATGTGTCTCGTCAATGCGTCCATCGCCAAGGAAAATAGGAATGGACTAAGAGCTGATCCCTGGTGCAACCCCATCATAACCGAAAAATATTTCGAGTCTCATCCCGATATCCTAACCTGAGTCTTAGCTTCATCATACATGTCCTTAATCACCCTAATGTAGGCTATTGGGACCCCTTTAGCCTCCCAGCATCGCCAGAGCACCTCTCTCGGGAATTTATCATATGCTTTTTCTAGGTCAATGAACAACATGTGCAAGTCCTTCATCTCCCTATACCGCTCCACCAACTTCTCACAATGAGAATGGCTTCCATAGTCGAACGCCCCGGCATGAAAGTGATGAAACTGAACTGGTTCTCAAAAATGGACACGCTGGTCCTCACCCTCACTTCAACCACCATCTCCCAAACTTTCATAGTATGGCTTAACAACTTAATCCCCCTATAATTATTGCAACTTTGGATGTCGTCCTTATTTTTATATAGAGGAATCATCGTACTCTACCTTCATTCATCGGGCATCTTCTTCGTCCTAAAAATAACGTTGAATAGCTTAGTGAGCTACTCCAAACCTGCCCTACTCGCATTCTTCCAAAATTCCACAGGTATTTCATCTGGCCCGGTAGTTCTACCCCTATGCATCTTACGCATAGCCCCCTTGACCTCATCTAGAGCTGTTAATATGGGCCGGGCCAGGACCCACGTGGGCTTTAGCAATTGACGGACTGGGCTGGGCTGGGCTAGCCCACCATTTTGATGGGCCTTATAATGGTCAGCCCACCCCAAGCCTATGTGGGCCGCGGGCCTCACGGGCCGGCCCATCATTTTTAAAAATATAATGTTATATTTTATCTTTAAGTTCTGACCTAAAAAAGTAATTATTTAAAAGTTAAAAAATATCTTATTGGAAAAAATTCGCAAAACTTAATAACTTTTTATACTGTTCCAATATATCACAATAAATACTAAAAAAGTAAAAGACAGGACTATATTTCATTCACTAATACTCAAAACTTAAAACAAACTATTCAAGAGAACATTCATGATGCTTATGAGATATCCAGCACATCATCTTCATCAAATACATTTGAATTCGCTTGTGACAAGGTTGTCTTGACATCTTCACTTTCATCTACAATCCATATGCAATATTAATTAGTTAAATATTAAAAATAATTAAATTTTAAAAATTAATAATATTTAAATTCACATAAAAAAAATATTATCAGTTTGAGTTCGGGAAAACCTGTGCAGCCAATTTCAAGTAGTAACAAGTGTTTGGATATTTTCATAATAAATGCAACTTCTGTACTTTGTAAGAACACGCCAACAATGCCAAATGTTGATTCCGATGGTACAATGGTAATAAGAATGCTAAGTACATCACCACCATCATTGAAAGATCAGGATATTTTCTAGAATGGTCCTTTCAATACATGACAACATCATCTCTTGAAACTTCTCAAGATCAAGTTTTGGTTCCTCTTAGTAAAGATCCAATTCTGATTTTCCATCTCTAAAGGCAGTATACTTTTTATTTTTTATATATTTTAAATAAATATTTTATTAGGCCCACGGGCCGGCCCGACCCATCCTCAGTCAAGCCTCATGGGCCACGGGCTTACTCGGGCCGGGCTTAAAAGCCTCATTTTTAAACGCGCTCCAAAAATTCTAGCTAGTCCTGCTAAATCACGGGCTGGGCTGGCCCAACGGGCCAAGCCCATATTGACGGCTCTAAGTCCTCATCTACTCTTATGTGCCTACAATATCCGAAATCCCGACGCATCTCGGAGTGCTCCAAGTTGCCCAACATAATGCCCCAATCACCCTCTTCGTTCACGAGTTTATGAAAATATGTCTGCCATCTTCATCTAATTTGAGCCTCTTCCATCAAAACTCTACCTTCCTCATATTTGATACACTTAACTTGATCCAGATCACGGGCCTTCCTCTCTCTCACCTTGGCTAGCATGTATATCTTCTTGTCCCCGCCTTTAGCCCCAAGATCTTCATACAGACGCCTTAATGCCGCAGTGTTAGCTATAGTAACCGCTAACTTCGCCTCCTTCTTAGCCCTCCTATACCCCTCCTTGTTCATCCTCTTCGCCTCCTTGTCCATGCTCTCTATAAGCGTCAAGTACGCCGCTTGCTTGGCTTCCACTTTCTCTTGTACCTCCTCGCTCCACCACCAATCACCTTTGTGACCGTCAAAGAAATCCTTCGAGACCCCTAACACTTCTCTCGCAGCTACTCTAAATTCTAATACACTCCGTTGTCGTGGTCCACATACAACTTGCGTCTCCACTGCTCTTCTAAGCTCCCATAGCTAACAACTCCCCCCAACTCCTGCGCTTTGTCACTAGTCATAGCACCCCACCTCATCCTGGGTTGACCATACACGAACATCTTTCTCCTCTTCCTCACGATCTCTAAATACATCACCAATAATCTATGCTGGGTCGTGAGATTCTGGCTTGATATAACCTTGCAATCCATGCACAGACTCCTATCGCGTTTCCGGAGGAATAAATAATCAATTTGAGTCATGGCCAACGAACTCTGAAATGTAACCAATTGTTTCTCCCTTTTCGGGAAACACGAGTTGGCAATCACAAAATCAAAGGCTATAGCACAGTCCAACAACAAAGTATCTCCTCCGTTCCTAACTCCAAAGCCAAAGCCGCCATGCACACTGTCATATCTCCCAAATGTCGCCCTAATGTGAGCATTGAAGTCACCTCCTATGAATAACTTCTCGGTGAGCGGAATGCCACGTACCAACCCATCAAATTCTTCCTAAAAACGCCTCTTAATCTCTTCTTCCAAACCCATTTGAGGCGCGTAAACACTAATGACATTTAAAGTAAACCCTCCCACAACCATCTTAATAGCCATAAGCCCGTCGTTCACCTTCCGAACTTCTATCACTGGCTTCCTAAGATCCCTGTCAACCAAGATACCTATCCAATTCTTACCCCTCCCGCGTCCTGAGACCCACAATTTAAACCCATCAGTATCTCGAGCCTTCGAACCCACTCATCTAGTCTCTTGGACACAAGCTATGTTGATCTTCCTCTTCTGGAGGATCTTCGCTAACTTTGTAGATTTCCCCGTCAAAGTTCCTATGTTCCAGGACCCCACTCTCAGCCTAGAGACTCCCTTGATATTTCCTTTGTACAAAGTATAAATGCCCCGAAAACTAATTATGCTATCTTGTTTAACAGAATTTCTCGCAGCCCCCTAAACTTGTCCGACTTTTTCTCTTAAACACCTTATTTAAGATTGTTCCAATTGAATACTTATATTGCTCAAAATTTATTCCTATTAAGCACTTTTTGCTGATATGACATAGTGTGTGTGATACACCTACTCCAAGAACGTGGGATGTACTATTTTTAAAGCTTTTTCTCCTCTTTTTTTAAAAATCTTTTTCTTCTTCATTCATCTTTGCCATAACTCTCCACCATAT